TATATAGTATATTTTCTTCAAAAATCATGTGAAATCTGTGAAATATTTGTCTGTCTTAAGATTAAAATAAATCACCCTGTGTGTATTCATTCTGCAGAATATCTTTTATCTTTCTACTTTATCTTTCCCTAAATAACTTGACTTAATTAGTCTCTTTTTATCAAATAACAAGTTCGGACTATTTCAAAAACATGCATGACGCATGTCATAATCACTGTATGTATATATATATATGTATATATACAGTGATTATGACATGCGTCGTGCATGTTTTTGAAATAGTCCGAACTTGTTATTTGATAAAAAAGAGACTAATTAAATCAAGTTATTATTATATATATATAAATTAAAATAAATATATATTATATATATATTAAAATAAAATGCATATATATATATATATATATATATATTTTATTTTATATAATATATAAAAATCTATATATATATTTTATGTATTTAATCTTTATATATATATTTTGTAAAAAAAATAGTAGAAAGACATATATAATATGTATATGCACAGTTGAAAAATTTGTATTAAATTAAATGAATATTACATGTCCCAAACAGTCTACAGAAATTTTTCCACAGAAACCCTCCACAGAAGTCCACAATAAAATTAAAAATAGATATACATTGTGTTATTTTTAAATTTTTTTTAGTTGTTTAACTAATTTAACATTTATAACGATATAAAACTATAAAAGTCACCAGACGATAATTAAAAAATGATAATGATTTAATCGACCAACTCTGGCAAATAAGTAATTTTATTGAATTTTACAACGTTTCGGCCGTGGGTTTCGGCCCTTATCAAGTGCTGTAATATAACATTAACAATTATGGGTAAAGAAAAATAAAAATAATAAAATATATAGAAACTTTCACACGTTAATACGCAAACATACCTATGTTCTTAAAACAAAGTAAATCACAATTTTTTTAAAAAACAAAAATTCGATCTTAGAATATAACATGATATAATAACATGATAGTATGAAAACGAAATAACTATGTTATCGTATCGATTTTAAGCTCCTTATATACTCAATATTTAGTTTAACTAAATAACATGATAGTATGAAAACGAAATAACTATGTTATCGTATCGATTTTAAGCTCCTTATATACTCAATATTTAGTTTAACTTACTTATTTGCCAGAGTTGGTCGATTAAATCATTACCATTTTTTAACATTTATAAATTCAATTAACACAACAATAATATATGTTAAATTAACACATAAATGTGTTAAATATATTTAACACCAAAATTTTAACGGGGACCATTTTTAAATATACATATATATTTATGTTTGTTTACTCTTTCTAAATAACTTAACCTTTTTTTCACCAAATAACAAGTATATATAATATCGCCTATTTATATGTATACACGTACCTATCTTCTTCACGTGGAGACGCCCAAGGAGCGATTCAAGCTTCGAGAGTAGGACGAGATCCTCGTAGCAACTCGTCCTCCTGAAGAAAACCGACCAGGGAGGACCGATCGGGCCAGCAACTGCGCGTATTCGTGAAGAGGAGCAACAATAATAATAATAATAATGTCATCGTCCGTCTCCCTCGTCGAATCGAGCACGCGCACAATATAATTCGTTTAAATCACGGTCGTTCCACTCGCGTGCGACCTTGTTCGAGAGTCGTGTGTAAAAAAAACGTAACAAAGTATATGCAATTCTTGCCTGTATCCATGTCATGCACACGTATGTGTGTGTGTGTATGTGTGTGTACACCTTCCGTTCTTGTTTTGTTCCCGAACTACAGCGAAGAGGAGACGATATATCTTCTCCTCCTCCCCCTTCTCGAGATCTCGTTCTCGAACAACTTCAGGTTGTTCCGCTGATCGACGCGGCCTCTCTCTCCCGGAGCGGAAATCTCCCTCGTGAATTAATATTCTCTTCTTTCGCGTTTTTTTTTCTTGTGTTTCTTCCCCGGAAAAAATATCCCGCCAAATTTCCGCGAACGCGGCAAACTTCAGGTCGCGTGTTTGACAGCTCGCGTTTGACAGATGACGGAACTAGGTCGGGTATAAAAGCGTGACTCACCCAGTCGACGATTTTAATACACAATTTCTTCAACAGGATTTAAATACTTGTTCGAAGATTATTTCGACTCCGAGTTCGCGAGGATCGATCGATGACGGAATCGATATAACGGAGTCACTTATTTTGAAGATCCACACACTATAGCGAATTTTTCGGGAAATACACCGAAAGAGTTTAGATCGCGGGACGGAGAGAAGAAGACGGGCTTCTTTCTTCGTTTTCCGTATTTTTTTCTCTCTTTTTATCGATAAACGAGACAGAAGAATAAAGCGACGCGGTCGCGAGACGCGCGCGAGAGATACTCGCCCCCTTTACTTATTTACTCGTCTCCCTCTTTCTCCCTCCTCTCTCTCTCTCTTCTTCTTCTTCTTCTTCTTCTCCTTCTTACCTTCCTTCACCGTCGACTTCTTTCTCTCTCCCTTCTTTCCTTCCACCTCCCTCGCGTCTTACATATACACACCCCTTTCTGTATTTTCTTATCTTCTTATCGATGTTTTGTCTTCTCTCTCTCTCTCTCTCTCTCTTTTCCCTCTCGTCGTCCGGAAAACGCGCGCATGCCACGTAACCGCGCGCGGATATAAAACGAGTACTTCACGGTGCCCGCGTAAGGCACGCACTGAGGAAGAACGAGCCGCCGACGAACGGTCTGCACATTCACCCATTCACACGCACCCACACACGCACGCGTGCGCGCGCGCGCGCGTGAGGGGCGGGAGGGTGAAAGGAGCGGGTCCGGTCTATTGTGGAGAAAGGGAGATCGTCAAGGGCGAGAGAAAGAGGGAGAGAAGAGACGAATTAAAAGAAAGAATCGAAATCCTCCTCCCTTCGTTCCCTTCGATTTTTAAATATTTAAATGTGATTCTTTAAATAAAAATTTAAATTAGATTTTTAAATATTTGAAATAAAAAAAAGTATTACGAATTTTTTTATCTCTAAAAATATCGCACAGTATAGAAAAATTTGTTTTCCGAGTGTAAAATTTTTGTGTTAAATATTTAACACAAAAATTCTTGTTTATTTAATATAATAAATGTCGTGTTAATTGAACTTAAATGTTAAATTATTAAAACAACTGAAAAAGATGTAAAAATAACAATATGCATCTATATATTTTTAATTTTACACAATAAATGTGTTCTGTTTTATTAGTGACAAGATTTATCTGTTAAAATTTACACAAAAAAATTTTGATTTATTTTATAATAAATAAGTGGAGATGATAAAATCTAAAATCAACATATTTTTAGTTAATTTTTACATTAAAACTCTATGTTAATTTTACACAATTTTAATTACTTGAAGTCTTGCATTTATTTTGTGTTAAAAAGTTAACACAGTATTTATGTCTCCATTTAACATATATCCGTATTAAATTAACACAAAAAATTCTGTGGACCGTTTGGGACATGTGATATCTGTTAAATTTAACAGAAATTATTTATTTATTTCAACTGTATCTTTGTAGAAAAAAAATGTTTCAAATAAAATAAGTTATATGATTTCGAGGGGGGGAAAGGTTATTGGCTCTGACTCTTTTCTAAAGGACGATTTTCAAAATTATTTATATTTTTTTAAATAGAACTACCATATTTTTTTATATAAATTTTGTTAAAAATATGGTAATTCAATTTAAAAATTTAATGATCTTAAAAATTGCCCTTCAGGAAAAATTAGTAGTGTCGATTTATTTCTCCCTCGAAATCCTACAACTTTTATTTGAAACACTTTTCTTTAGAAATAATAATTTTCGAGATAAAAATTTGTAACATGCTAGTATATTACATTTATATATATATATATATGTGTGTATTTAAAATATATATATATGATATTTTAAATTTAAATTATTTATATATATATATATATATGTATATGTAAATATATATATATGTGTGTGTGTGTGTGTATATATATATATGTAACTTATGTGTATTTAAAAATATATATTAATATTTTAAATTTAAATTATTTAAATTGAAACAATCGTTGCTTATGGAAGCGAGCTGTCGCTCGGATAAAACTTTTGTATCGCAATGCATAATTTTTAAACCTTTTTCTACCAATGTACAAGTACCAACTACGTATGTCTTTGACACATATTGCATTGTGAAAATTTTTTAATGGCTGCCGGACTGTGAATATTTTTATCCTCATTATTATTTTAAGTTTTTTTTTTTTAATAAGGACCTTTGTATTTTATGTCCGGCGAAAGTTTCCAAAAGACACATGTTTTGAACCTGGATTTCAAATTTTGAAGAGAATTAGATTTATATGTAATTATATACGATACGTAATAAAAAAATTAATAAAGTTAATAACGATGCGAGTTTTAGCTTTATGTATTTTTTCTTCTCGAAGTCAATTCGTCGAGTCTCCTTGTTAACAGATCAATATCTAATCGATGTTTGCACAAATATTGGCCCTCCAGAAAAAGGAATGGTATGTCGTTCTTGTACAACTCAAAATATCGCTCGTTATCCTGCGCAGTGATGTCAACTTCTTCTAACTGATAACGACCAGAGAAACGCAAACGCAGCTCGTTCTTTAATACATCGCAAAGTGGACAAGGATTTTTCGTATATAACGTTAATTTTGGCGGGGAAGATACTGGATGAGACCTAAAAATCATATAATATATTCCTTCTTCCTTTGAAAAATATTTTTAATTCATATTATAATGACGTTCAAAAATTAAACATCTATATAAAAACATCCATCATATTGATAATATGTAAAAAAGTTTATTTCTACATAGTAAATATAAGAAGATAAGCAGCAATACAGAAAAGATACACAGAGGAAAAAAATATATATTTTCTTATACTTTCTTATATTGCTTCTTTTCTCGCTTAGAAGTTGTATATTTTACTTATAAACATACATGTATATTTCAGTAGAAAAATTATAAAATGTTCTATTATAATTACATTTATATATAATTATTATAATCACATTTATATAAAAAAGCTATAAAAACGCTTTTCAACATTACTTTAAAAGTATACACATTTCGTAATATAAAAAATAACATTTTTTATATACAATTCAATTCATATGTATTATCGATACAACAAAGATAGATCGTGTGGCATCTCATGAGAATTAAAACAGCAGCAATTATTTGGGGAACTTACAATTTCTCAATCAAGATCGATGATGCACCACCACCTCCGTTGCAAATTGATGCGACACCCTTTTCCCCGGCTTTAAGAGCATGAACCAAGTGTACCACGATACGTGCTCCTGACATACTGTAAGAAAGATTCATATTTATTAATAAATAATTAATAGTTTTAATAATTATCTTTTGACATAATTTTAATTATTTCATTTTATTTCAATTATTTTTATTAAGTAACTTTATGACAGAGTTGGCATGTTTTAAACAATTTGTTTAAAACTGTTTAAAATATGTAACCAATAGATATAAAATTAAAAATATAAATATAAATAATAAAAATAATATGATAATAAAAATAATATGATTATGATAAGTATTATTTTAACAGAATATATATTTTTGAATATTAAATATTGAGCAACAATCAATATAATTGAATATATTCAAGATTATACATATAAAGCTATCTACACAAAGCAAAAACTATTAAAATCTTAATTATAGCACATTGCATTTTACATTTTATCTATTGTAAATAATAAAATAATTTAGCTCATTTAATTAAAAAAAATATACACATTTAAGAAAAATGAACGATAATAACATATTAGAATAGCATTGCATATTTTTTATACCTATCTTTATAAATTGAATTAATGTAAAAATGTTGTTTTAAACAAAAATCAGTGTTTTTGTTTAAAATGAAAAAAATCATTTTTTGCCAACCCTGTTTTATAATACGATAAAAGAGAGAGACGTCCGCATAAATGAAGACTCTTAGAAACTATTCGGATAAACTCACCCTATGGGATGTCCGAGCGAAACAGCACCGCCGTGAACGTTTACCCTGGTGGGATCAATGTCAAGTAATTTTTGATTTGCCACAGCCACCACACTGAACGCCTCGTTGATCTCCCAAAGGGCCACGTCGTCCTTCTTAACTCCGGCGTTTTGAAGCAGCTGAAAAAATTCAATATTGTTGTTGAAAATATTCCAAAAAAATTAATCGTTTCACTGACAAATGGACTTACCGATGGCACAGCAAGTGCCGGGGCAATCGGGAAATCTATAGGATCCGTTGCTGCATCCTGGAAAGCGACAACTCTGGCCAGAGGTTTGAGATTCAGTCTTTGAGCGACTTCGCTGGTCGTTAAAATTAACGCAGCAGCACCATCATTTAGAGTGGACGCGTTTCCTGCTGTCACCGTACCATTTTCTTTCTATATATGTAGAGAAGATAGGAGAAATAAGGATTTAGCAATGTGAATAAAGTATTTATAGTATTATAGCTTCAACTCATATCAAATGTTACTCTTACCTGAAAAACTGTGCTCAAGTTGCCAAACTTCTCGAAGTTGACTCTTTTATACTCCTCATCCCCTGCAAAAATTACATCCGGCTTGCCCTTCTTCTGAGGAACACTCACAGATACAAGTTCCTCCTTAAATACATTATTTTGATAAGCTGCGGCACTGCGTTTGTAACTGCTGATAGCATACTCGTCCTGCTGCTGGCGAGTAATGTTGAGTTTCTTAGCAGTGTTTTCAGCACAGTTACCCATGTGACACTTATTATATACATCAGTCAATCCATCAAATACAATACCATCCTATAAACAAAAATTTGCACGATATTAATTACTTATATTGTGTAAATGTATAGATATATTTTTATGTACGGCAAATAAAGGAATATAATTTAACCTGAAGTTTTACTCCACCATATGGCGTTTCACCACGCGCTAAATAATATGGCACATTAGACATAGATTCCATACCACCGGCTAGAATAATCTCTTGGTGACCGCACTGAAGAGACTGAGAGGCTAGCATGATACTTTTCATGCCACTTGCGCAGACTTTGTTCACCGTAGTACATATTGTTGATTTTGGAAGACCTAATGACAGATATATAATAATAATATAATATTTTAATAATAATAATCAGATTATAATAATAATAATCAGATAATAATAATCTCATTACATATCCTATAATAAATGATGAGATTATATATTTTTTTATCAATATGTGACCTTTATTCCATTGAAGCACTACCGCATTAATACTATTATTATTGTGAAACTTTACTAAATGCAAAATATTAATTGAAAAAGACTAAAAAATACATTTTTAAGACCTGCAAATAATGTAGCTTGTCTCGCTGGTGCTTGACCCAAGAAACTTTGGCAGACGTTGCCTATATATACTTCTTTGACTTGTTCCTTAGCGATACCAGCTCTTTCAACAGCTGCCTATAAGATATATATTTATTAGTTATAATTTATACTTAGTCGTAATTTATAATTAATTCCTAAACATTGAGATAAGTCAAGATCCTTACTTGCACAGCTACTGCACCGAGTTTAGTGGCCGATATGCTTGACAAGGATCCAAGAAATGAACCCATTGGAGTTCGCACAGCACTAATTATTACAACATCATTTAAATTGATTTTGGAACTATACAAACGCTTGCTCATCAAATTTATCTGAAAAGAAAAGTTATTATTAAGATACATCTCCACAGTTTTAATACATAAATTAGGCTTGAAGAAATATATGAATTAAAAAAGACTTAATTTGTCATTTTTAATAATTAGTATAAATCTCACTTTAAAAATTATTTATAATTATATATTTATATTTAAAAAAAAAGTGGGGAGAGTTAAGTAGACACAAAATATAGCACATAACCATGTTTTAAAAAGCTAAACGTGTGTATACATATATATATATATATATTAAATATATAATATATTGACATTTAATTAATTGAAAGTAACTTACCTTAGCCAATCTCATTATTGTCGCCATTATTGTAAACGATATTTTATTGGAAAGGAAAAATACACTGTGCAAGTAAAGTTCAGTCAGCAGCAAGATGGTGTTTGACGTCAATGACGTATCAATGACGTATATGTAAACACATTTGACGATTTGACTTCTCATTTTCCTTTACACATTTTTAAAATGTTCCAATTTTTCTCCCCTTCATGAAAAACAATAATTATTTATTTATTGTTACTAATACTAAATCCTTTGAATTACTTAGCGAAAAATGAGTAAAATTATTAAAACTGGAATACGTTTGGGTAGTAATAGTTATAGGTATATGTAATTAATTTTTAACATATCAAAATTTTTTATGATTAGATGTGTTTGGCTCCTATAATCATTATATAATTTCGCACTACTTTATATAATGAAAGGATCCCAAATAGACAAAAACATATCTTTTAGATTTCTAAAAGATATCTTACTATATCTTAAGATGTCTTTCATTTTGTACCAAAAGATATTTTATAGGAATCTAAAAGATGTCTTATGCAACAGTTTCAAATATCTTTTAGATATCTATAGATGTCTTCAAGATATCTTATAGAAATTTAAAAGATATCTTATGCAACAGTTTCAGATATCTTTTAGATATCTATAGATGTCTTCAAGATATCTTGTAGAAATCTAAAAAAAGTCTAATAGTTATCTTTTAGTTGCATGTACAAGATATATTCTAGATGTCTTGGAAACTATTTTCTAGATGTCTTTAAGATATCTACCCAGATAGCCACAGTAATTATTATGACATCAAAATGATGTCATAATAATTACTGTGGCTATCTGGGTAAATAGATATAAACTTATATCGGAAAAATAAATAACATATATAGCATATGACAATGTTAAGTTTATTAATTAAAAGTTGCTACCTAATTATTTGCAACAACTTTTAATTAATAAACTTAACATTGTCAAGCTATATATGTTAAAATCCTTTTCTTGAAAAAACTTGAACACTATGTTAATGTGAAAAGATGGAAATATATATTTAAAACTACACAGAAATATTACACATACAAAATATTAAACATTACGTATTATTACTATACTATATATATGTTTTATTAATAGATATATATATATATATATATATATATATATATATATATATATGTGTGTGTGTGTGTGAATGTATATATGTATATATACATATATATAATACAAGTATAAATATATGTATATATGTATCCCTGTCGCTTTAAAGCCCCTTGCACAATGTCAGGCAATAACAGGCAGTACGAACAGGAAATAAAAGATATTCACCAATAAAAGCAGAAAATAATATATATTTATTCTCTGCTCTTTATAGTGAATATCTTTTATTTCCTGCTTCTATTGCCTGCAGCCTGACATTATGCAAGAGGCTTAATATTTAAACTATCTAATATTAATGCCGATTTTCATTATTTCTTTCTTCTCTTTGCATCTTTTTCATCCGATATCGCATTTTATCACCTGCATGTTGCAACTAATTCTTTATATGTTTTGTAATCAATGCGAGCAATCAGGTGTTTTTTCTTTTGCATGAGTCACAACCCCTGTGGATAATATATATACATTTATATTAGTGAATAAATATATTGGAAAATATACTCTATTTATATAATATTAGTATTTAAAAAATTGTTAATAATAAGTTATAATTTTATACGTGTCACATTATATACATACATCACAAAGAATATAAATAACAAAGTAATGCGAATAAATAAAAATTGAAAAACATATATAAATAAAATCTATTAAAGTACATTTACCACTATGTTTGCAAACGTAGAATTTTTAAAATAGTAATCTGAATTTATTTAGAACAAATAATCCATTACATACTGTTCAAACTTGCATGATGCGAATAGAGAGAAGATATAAAAAACTATTTGTGAAAGTGCAAGATCTTTTCTGTGGATTAAAATAAATAAGAAATTAAATAAATTACAATAACAAATTATCATTATTTCAAACAATTTAAACAGATAAAAAGAATTGAAATAAATGTAATGAAATATACCTTGTAACAGCGATGTTAAGATATCATCCACGATGGATAATAAAAGACATCTTTAAATGTGACGAGCAGCAAATATTGGTTCGATGCAAGAAAATAATGCTATTCAGAGAATCATTTTTCCTAATAAAATTTTTAATAAAACATTTTTAATAATAATTATATATATAATCGTAATAACAAGAGTGCTGTTTAAAGGCTGTGCACAATAGAAGGAGTAAGCGAAAGGGATAAATAGACCAAAAATTTTTCTATTCTGCGTTACTACATTACATATGTTTCATATTCAACTGTTCTTTATTCTTTTCTCTTGTTTTCTGTTGCTTATACTCGGTTCCTTTTATTGTGTATTGTGTATTGCAGCCCCTTATAAGTAGTAAAAATAGTATGACCTGTTTTTGGATCAAATGGCAATTGTGCTAAATAATAACTCGAAGAAGTCCAATATCTCAATGTTCCTCGAAGAAGTCGAATATCTTAGTTCCCTCATTCTTATCACTGAAAAGAAAATATTACAACTAGATGATCTCAAATTTGTAACAGAATAATGTAGTTTAAAATAAATTATTTTATGTATGTAATAAATATTACATGAATATATTATAAAAATATTTTTATAATTTCATGTAATATTCAATAAAAATTTGCACATTGTGATCACTCGCACAGTTTTACACATTACATCACTTTTACACATAATAACACTTTTGTCACTCATTCATACGCATCATGCGTGAATCGGAAAGCTATATAGATATTGTAAGAAATATACATGCGTCCGGCGGATATCGTCGAATTACGTCGTCCTGATCGTCCACAGCCGACATTGCGTGCGCATACGAGCAGGCGCAGGACCGGAGCGTAGCAGGAGTGGGGCACCGTTCGAAGGCACTGTTCCAAAAGGACCGGCTAAAAACGGTGACTCTCTTTTGAGAAGCGCTATAATACGGTTGGAAAAATTATACGTGCGGGAGTTCTTTCGATAATTCTTGTATCGCATACTAATTGAATAAATCGGTTCCAAGTCTTTTCTTATACTTTAATTTCGAGTGTTCGAGTTATCTTTATTTCAAACATACCACCCTATCTGACAATCCCAAGAAGAAGAGCATCGTCTCATCGTTTCTTTTCAACTTCAGAAGTGGGATACTGCTCAGGCTTCACAGAGATCCAGAATCAGAGGTTATCTGGGACAAAGAAAATAATAAAAGAGTTGTTAAAACACAGGTAACGGCTTTTTTAAAAATTTAACGGTAAAAGATTCTACCTGCATGGTGCAGACTCGGGCTCGTGGTAAGATGGATAGAGCTCAACTGGAGAACCTCTCTCACGAGGAGCTAAGATTGGAAGCGTCCAAGTATCGGTTACCGATCTCGGGAAACCGAAACTCTCTAATTGACGTGATCATGACCCATCTCGAGACTCATGGGCCGGTCGAGAAGATGATGCAGCTGGCCTCTCCGAGACCGACGACGTCGGGTGCGGTTCCGAAGATCACGAAGGCCTCGCAGCAACGGAGAGACTCCCAGGAATCGGCGGACGTCTTAAAACAGATGCTGGTGGCGATGCAGAAGCAGCACGAGCAAATGGGAGCAGCGATGCGGCTGCAACACGAAACGTTAGGGCAAATACTCCATTTGCTAACCGACCAGAGGGAGGCGAGATCAGCGCAAACACAGGTAGGCACGGCGAGGGAGGTTGAGCGAGATACTTCACCTCGTGTGTCCCCGTCGGAGGAAGCAGGACGGCGCTCGACGGAGTCGTGGTCGTCAGGATCGGCGGTACAGGCGTTGGCCCACCAAATCCCGGAGTTCGGTGGCACGGAGGACGACAACGTCCACTCCTGGGTGCGGAGAGTGGACAAGGTTGCTCAGGTCCACGGAGCGACGGACGGAGCGACATTGCTGGCTGCTTCAAGCAGGCTGACCAAGTCGGCCAGGAGATGGTTTGACGTCCAGGGGGATCTGGCCGTTGAATCCTGGGTCGGCTTGAGGTCGGAGTTGCTGAAAATATTTGATAGGAAAATCCCGTTTTATAGGGCAATGCAGAAAATTGAAGCAAGGAAGTGGACTTCCAATAAGGAATCCTTCGATGATTACGCCATCGAGAAGCTGGCGCTGATGCATCAGGTCGACCTACCTGATCGGGACAGGATCCAGTTGCTGGTGAGCGGGATAATGCCGACATCACTCAGAGCGACGGCACTGGCAGTATCCGACGACACTCTGGAAGGCTTCTTGGCGCGGATGCGGACGATTACCCAGGGCACCTCGGACTGGGAAAGGAAGCCGTCGTCCCAAGGGCAGCCGCAGAAGCCGAAGGATGGAGCCTGCCGGAACTGCGGAAAGAAAGGACATACGTACAAAGAGTGCAGAAATGAGGTATCGTGCTTTTATTGTAAAGAGAAAGGGCATAGGCGATTTGACTGCCCGATCTTGAAAAAGAAAGAGTCCAAGACTCCCGGGCGCACACCGAATTCCTCTGGAATAGCGGCGGCGAGCGTGTCAGCGGATATACAGGCGTCCGATAGCGTCGCGGTAGTACAGGCGGAGCGTACATTGTTGTCCGTCACCGATCCGTTCGTTAAGATCAACTTCCTAGAAAACGGAGAATGTAATTTGACAGCGTTAATCGATACGGGTAGTCCGGTGTCATTTATAAAAAATAGTATTTTCGAAAAATTTATACAACCGGGAAATAAGTTGATGAAAATTAAGAGTCCGCTGAGAAACTTAACAAACGAGCCATTAAACATATTAGGAATTTACAGAAGTCGCATAGGAATACAGTGCCTAAAAAATAAAGTAATCTCAGTGAATTTATATGTTCTCGATTCAAATACGTTTCAAGGAGACCTAATATTAGGGCGCGAGTTCATTATCGAAGAAAAACTTACCTTTGTTTATGAGCCAGGCGCGAAGGGTGACCGAGATAAGGCGAATCTGTTTTCGTATTTACCGCTGTGTATTGATAGCAACGAAAATAATCTGGAAAACATAATTGAACAACATGATATAGACTTTGACATAGAAGCAAAGGATCGGTTAAGTAAACTTGTTTGTCGAATAAGAGACAAAAATATTATACCTGTTGAGGACGAAAACACCGTCCAAGTGCAATTAAAAGACCCGTCGATTTATGCTTTTGCGCCGAGGCGTTTTGCAAACGCGGAGCGAGCGGAACTCAGAAAGATCACCGACGATCTGCTGGAACGGGGAATAATTCAGCCCAGCGTTTCCCCGTACTGCGCTCGAGTAGTTCCTATAAGGAAAAAGAACGGGCAATTACGGTTATGCGTGGATTTGAGACCTTTAAATAGTCGCGTAATAAAACAGAAATATCCGTTCCCAATAATAGAAGATTGTCTCGCGAAACTAGGTAATAAAAAAGTATTTACTTTGTTAGATCTTAAAGACAGCTTTTACCAGATTAGAGTTCATAAGGATTCAACAAAGTACTTTTCTTTCGCCACGCCAGATGGGCAATTTGAATATACGCGTTTACCTTTCGGTTATTCAGAATCACCCGCGGAATTCCAGAAAAGGTTGATACGGATCCTTAACCCGTTGATTCGTGCAGACAAGATCCTGGTTTACATCGATGATGTTCTGATTCCTTCTGAATCTGTTGAGGAAAATCTGGAAATTTTAGAGAAAGTATTATTAATTCTGAAAAGTTACGATTTTCAACTGAATTATGCAAAATGTAAATTTTTAAGGTCAGAGATAGAATTCCTAGGATACAGAATTTCAGGGACGGGAATTACTCTTAGCCCGCGGCACACGGAGGCTATAAAAAATTACAATCCTCCGAAGGACAGACTTCAATTACAAAGATTTTTAGGCCTTACAAATTATTTTAGAAAATTCATCAGGGATTATTCGATTAAAATTAGACCATTACAAAATTTGATGAGGAAAAACGTGCCGTATCTTTTCGATAATTCGTGCATAGAGGCGTTTAAGTTATTAAAGAATGAACTGACCTCACCTCCGGTGTTGAGTCTGTATAATCCCTCCGCAGAGACTCAGCTTCATACAGATGCGTGCAGTCTAGGGTACGGGGCGATTCTGTTGCAGCGGCAGCAGGAGGGGAAATGGTCCCCAGTAGCGTACTTTAGTTCAGGCACGAATGCGGCTGAAAAAAATTACCATAGTTACGAATTAGAAATGTTAGCAATAGTGCGTGCAATAGAAAGATTCCACGTGTATTTGTACGGTATAGATTTTGCAGTCATTACAGACTGTAATGCAATCGTGTACGCTATCAATAAGGCAAATCTAAATCCTCGAATAGCCAGATGGACTTTGGCTCTGCAAAATTATACCTTTAGTATAATGCACCGCCCAGGAAGTCGCATGGCTCACGTTGACGCCCTCAGCAGATGCGTGGCCCATGTGGACGAGCTCCCGTTGGAAAGGCGCTTAGAATTTTTACAGCTGACAGACCCTAGAATATTAGAAATTAGTCAGAGCTTAGAGCTAGAGGATAGTGAAAAATTTGCCTTAAGTGACGGCTTAGTTTACAGAAAAATAGATGACAGATTAAAATTTGTGGTACCCGAGTCAATGGTGACGAATATGTTGCGAGTCCACCACGACGAATTGGCTCATTGCGGTGCTGAGAAAACGTTCCGAAGCATTAGTCAAAATTTTTGGTTTCCGACCATGAGAAAACGAGTATATGAATACGTGAATAACTGTCTCACTTGCATTATGTCGAATAGCTCTTCGAATCGTTTGGAGGGGGACACAGCTGTACCCTTTACCCACGTTGCCACTTGATGTACTGCATGGTGACCACTTTGGTCCGCTTCAAGAAACTGCGGATAATTTCAAACACATTTTAGTTGTGATAGATGCATTTTCGCGATTTACGTGGTTATTCCCTACAAAATCTACAGGGACTAAAGAAGCGCTACATTGTATCGACAACATTATATCTGTGTTTGGAAATCCACTAGAAATAGTTTCGGAGAGGCACAGTGTTTACGTCAAAAGAATTCTTAGAAGTCATGAAAGAGAAAAACATCAAGCATAGAAAGGTTGCGGTGGCGGCCCCGTGGGCAAACGGTATGGTTGAGAGGGTGAATCGTTTCATCAAATCGTCCCTCACTAAATTAATAGAGACACCGAGTGGATGGAAAGAGCGTCTAAATGTTATGCAATACGTGCTCAATAATACATACCATTCCGCAATCAAGGCTACACCGGCAAAGATCATGTTTGGCTTCGATCAACGTAGCCACGGCGATAGCTCCCTAGCCAGGTTTACGCAAGCTCTTGTAGATATCGATGCGAACCTTGAAAAAGAAAGGGATATTAGCAGGGAAAATGCGTTGCGAGCGACTGAGGTAGTAAGGGATTACAATAAAATGTACCGAGACAAACACTGTAAGAAACCAACGATATATAAAATTGGAGATCGTATTCTAATTAGGGACGACCGAAATAAAGTTGGAATTAATTCAAAGTTGAAACCTAATTACAAAGGACCTTACCAGGTTGCGAAGGTCCTCGGGAACCATAGATACGTGATCCAAGATATTCCAGGTTTTAACATTAAGCAAAAACCCTTAAATACCATACTGTCTGTCGATCGAATAAAACCGTGGATCAAGGCGCCGAAGAAACCTGAAAATTAATTCATAGTTGTAAATAGAATATTTATATTAGATTTAAGTCGTAGTTAGAATAGTAAACGAACAAAAAAAAAAAAGAGGGAAAGAATGTATCACGATAACCTCAACGCGATATATGTATAAAGTGCTAGCGGCGGATTAGTAATGATCATTGTTATCTAACGACTTACCGATTTGTACATAATGTAGTTAACTTCGAGACGAAGTTCAAATCAGGCTGGCCGAGTTGTAAGAAATATACATGCGTCCGGCGGATATCGTCGAATTACGTCGTCCTGATCGTCCACAGCCGACATTGCGTGCGCATACGAGCAGGCGCAGGACCGGAGCGTAGCAGGAGTGGGGCACCGTTCGAAGGCACTGTTCCAAAAGGACCGGCTAAAAAACGGTGACTCTCTTTTGAGAAGCGCTATAATACGGTTGGAAAAATTATACGTGCGGGAGTTCTTTCGATAATTCTTGTATCGCATACTAATTGAATAAATCGGTTCCAAGTCTTTTCTTATACTTTAATTTCGAGTGTTCGAGTTATCATTATTTCAAACATACCACCCTATCTGACAATCCCAAGAAGAAGAGCATCGTCTCATCGTTTCTTTTCAATATCGTGTATGTTTTCTGTTAGTGAGAAATAAAAATGTTGGATTGGGTTAGATGCGAACCTCTAGAGTCGAAAAATATATATGCTTTATAATAGGAGTGTAACCCCGGTTGATTTAAATTATGTAATATATGTTACATATATAACACTTGCTTTAAAATTAAATTATAAAAATATATATATATATATTTATTTTAAAATTTTAATGTTTGAGATATCTTTAAGATGTATAATAGATATCTTTTAGAAATTCCACAAAGACATCTTCATCAAAATCTTTTTAGACATCTGAAAGATATCTAGAAGACATCTTTTAGAAATGTCTTAAAGATTTCTTTAATGAGACATCTTTTAGATTTCTACAAGACTTCGATGTTATGTGGGACATTGCTTTTCCGAAGCCCAATTACCCATATTATTCTTAGGAATATCTAGATTTATTGTTAAAGCAACCTCATCTTCTATAATATCCATAAAATGCTAAATTCAAAATATGTAAAATATATAAAAAATATTACAAATATGTAAAAATTGTCTGTATAATGTTATATAATATAATAAAAAAATGTTAATATATAAATACTAAGAAGCAAAATATAATTGTACTTATATATATATTTATATATTATATTTATATTATGATAATAACATAAATATTAAATAAAATTTAATAATTTTATTTAATTTTTTAGGCATTTTAAGATGTATATAATTTTATTTTTTATATTATATTCTATATTGTGTATTATACTAACATACTATTTGCATATGATATTCTCTTTAATAAAAATATGAAATTTTTTCTAAACATTTTTTTATACTCGTTATATAATAAAAAAATATATAATATATAACAAATAACACACACACATATATATATATAATAATAATAATTAAATAATTAAATAATAAATAAAAGTATGGAATTATTATAAATAAAAAAAATGTGAAATAATGAAATAAATAAAAATATAACATTTCTCAGACTAATTGTTTATACTTGTTATATATATAGAAATGACAAAAAAATAAATTAATATTTATAAATAATACTGATAATCATAATACGCAGATTGTCACGTGTGACGACAGCAGCGCATGCGCGCAAAATTTCTGTGTATTTACGGTTACACCAGGTTATATACATCCACCCATATCGACAATCAGTTGATCAGTCGCAGAAGGGAGAAAAGTCCAGAGAAAATAATCGCAAACCTCGAGTCCGAGCTCCTGTCATGTCATCTCCCGCATAAATTGAGGTGAGTCCACGTGGGACTAAAATGTCACAACGTAATAAGAACGCAAAAATAAGCTCCCGTAATAAAATTCTGTCCTTAACGTAGAGAGGAGGTAACCCAATAAGGCGACCTACATCTGCACCAAGATGTATCACTAGACGAGAAGATGACCTTCGATCGACGACAGCTTCGCTGAAAAAGAATTTCGATTATCGTGTCATATCAGGCGAGACACTGTATGACATGAACGTCGAGGAGAAAAGACTCGCGACCTTCCGGAATGGCCATCCAACGCGGCGATCGGCGCGTCCTGCCTCGCGAAGGCGGGTTTTTACTATACCGGACATTTCTTGGAGGTGCAGTGCTTTCTGTGCGGGACGAGGATATCGGACTGGAGCTACGGCGACCAGGCGATGGCGCGTCATCGCCGAAAAGCGCCCACCTGCCCTTCGTCCTCGACTCAGCTAGGACCTGCAACGTCCCCTTGATTCCGATGATAGCTAGCGCGATGACAGCTGGTCCGATGACAGCTGGCCCGATGACGTCACCGTCGTCATCATCATCGTCCTCCTCCTCCCAACGATCCGAGAGCGTCGAGAGCCCGCAGGACTCTCGTGCTGCGTCGAGGTCCTCCTCGGATCCTTCCAAGTACCAGACTGTCTCGCAGAGGCTGCAGACGTTTGATAGCTGGCCGCTTACTTCCAGCATTCGGCCAGAACAGCTGGCTTCTGCAGGATTCTATTATCTTCAGTATGAAGATATGGTAAAAAATTGCTTTAATTATATGTATACATTATACTATAATAATATTGTGAGTTATTGCAATAAGTTAATTTTTTTTATTAAAATTTAGAGAAATATATTTTTCAATCATTAATCTTTTTATTGGAAATGTCAACTATTTTTATTGTTAAATTAAAATCTCTGTTTCTTAGAAATTGAAATTAATAAAAACAACAATTGAAATTAATAAAAGCACCAGGCAATTTGTACATAATCTAATTAAAATTCAATTTGTAAAGCTATAGAATTTTATATTTAATAAATTTGATAAAAGGCTGTTAAGAGCAGTAAATATAAAAATTCAAATTATGTTAGAAAGTAAAGTCATATATAAAAATAATATTCTTTAATCTAATGTCTACTAATGAATTACAATAAAAGGTGACAAAAAGAATTAAACATAAGTACTCTTTAAATACAAATACAAAGCGAACGTTTCGGTCAATATTTTGACCATTATCAACGCTGATTAAATTCTGAATTTAAAAACTAATAAACGATGTCATAACGGTAATATATACATCAAGCATAGTCATAGAGTATGTAACACATTAAAAATACAATGATAGATATAATGATTAACAAATATTATCGTAAGAGAAAAAGAGAACATGCTATGAACTGGTCAACAAAATTCAAGATCTTCATATTGACAATGGTTTCAAACTAATATCGTTAGATGTTGTTTCTCTTTTTACAAATGTTCAATCGATCTGGCATTAAAAAGTGTTTCTGATAGATGGCAATATTTGGCTGAGAATTGCGACATTCCGAAATCAGAATTCATGGCAGGATTAAACTTAGTTTTAAATTCCTCATTTTTTACTTTTAACAATATTTTTTACCGACAATCATATGGCATTCCTATGGGATCGCCACTTTCACCTATTATTGCAGATATAGTACTTCAGGACATTGAAAAACAAGCGCTCAATCTTTTAACATTTACACCACCTATTTATTTTAGATACGTAGATGACGTTATATGTGCTGTTCCATCTCATCAAATTCAACAAACTTTAGACATTTTCAACTCTTTTCACAATAGAATTCAGTTTACATTGGAATATAACAATAATAATAGCCTTGATTTTCTCGATGTCACGCTCATTTTAGAAAATAATTCTATTAAGACTGATTGGTACCATAAATCAACTTTCTCTGGTAGATATTTACATTACTTTTCACAACATCTTCCTTGTCAAAAAAGAGGAACAATAATTGGATTGGTTGACAAAGCATTTTTATTATCGCACCCAATTTTCCATACCAAGAGCTTAAAGTTGATAATTGATATATTAATTAATAATAGCTATCCTACTAAATTAATTTTTCAAACCATAAACCATCGTTTAAAATTACTGATCAATAAAAACAACATTATTAACAATAGTATTTCTACTCTAAAATTACCTAATTCATACTTTACCATTCCATATTTACCAACCATATCTGAACAATTTAAAAATATCACAAAGAATCTTAATACGAAACTTTCATACTTCAATTTAAATAAGTTAAACAAACACATTAAAGTGCATAAAGATAAAGTTCCAATTTTTCCAATACCAATGTTGTTTATAGAATTGAATGTGCAGACTGTAATGCATCATATGTGGGCCAAACGGGACGTAAATTAAGCACTAGAATTTCTGAACATAAACTTGACATTAATAAGAATACAATGAATAAATATGTTATAACTAACCGTAGGCTTGATTTCAACCACGAATTTAAATGGAATGAAGTAAAAATTTCCTAGGAAAAAGATTAATCTCCGAGATGATTTATATTAAAAGACAAACAAATAGTTTGAACTTGCAAACGGACACAGAATGTTTACCTGATACATATATAGATAGTATTGATAAACTACCGAAACTCTGAAAATAGATACACAAATATAATAAGTTAACACCGCTCATTTTCACCTTTCGATCACTTTGTCTGTGACATTGTAAGTGTGCGGACCTCAAGAATCGATGTTCTTCCTACACTACTGTTTTCACGTTGCAATCTAATCATATGTAAGTCTATAAACATCTTCGTTTTCGTACAACCTATTAAGCTTAAATAAATCAATAACTATTTAATAACATTATAGGATTCAAATCATTATGTGTCTATCGGGTCTAATAACCGGAGTAGAAACACAATTTACGAATTTTAACCATCACATTATGACTATGTTGGAGGAATATCGCTTTTCATTTTTACATCATGTTCTCTTTTTCTCTTACGATAATATTTGTTAATCATTATATCTATTATTGTATTTTTAATGCGTTACATACTCTATGACGTTTTTGACTATGCTTGATGTATATATTACCGTTATGACACCGTTTATTAGTTTTTAAATTCAGAATTTAATCAGCGTTGATAATGGTCAAAATATTGACCGAAACGTTTGCTTTGTATTTGTATTTAAAGAGTACTTATGTTTAATTCTTTTTTGTCACCTTTTATTGTAATTCATTAGTAGACATTAGATTAAAGAATATTATTTTTATATATGACTTTACTTTCTAACATAATTTGAATTTTTATATTTATTGCTCTTAACAGTCTTTATCAAATTTATTATAATTTAATAAGAGCCTTGACTTACTACGATTTAATTTTATATTTAAATTCACTTTCGATAAATTAAAATTAATACGATTTTCTTATTAAGTTTAATACAATTTATTAAGTGTAAAGAAAAGTCATTACACACAAATTGATATATATTGGAAAGTGTATTTAGATTTTTTAATTAAGAAAGAAGCACACAAATAAAGATTTATAATACTAAAAATAATTCATTTACAATAAAAAGATTAATAACAACTATGATTAAAACATTATGAATATATATTCATAGATAATAAATATAAAATATAATATTATATATATACCTGTTGTTGCATAACATTTTGTACAACAGGTGGAATGCGCATTTTGCAAAGGTGTTATAATGAATTGGAAAGCTGGAGACAATCCAGAGCATGCCCATAAATTAAATTTTCCAAATTGTGATTTCTATATGAGAGAAACAGAAGATGGTACGTTATTATTTCATGATAACACAAGAATCAAATATTTAATTTTACTTAAAAAAACTAAATATATACTAAACTCGTATATTTTCGCATGCAATCATCTTGATTAAATAATTTCATCTTAATAGATACATTTGGATTAGTCAAACTCTTGCCTGGTACTAGCACAGATTTAACAGAATTGGGAGTACAAGTGCATACAGTATCTAAATCACAATATACAACATTTGAAAAAGATTGCAAACCTTTCGAAACTGGCCGAAAAATCTCAAGCAAACTCCAGAAATGTTAGCTGCTGCTGGATTCTATTATCAAGGTTGAAGATTTTTTTCACATATATGTATATCAGAACATTGATGAAATTTTTTTTGCTAAAATTTTATTATGCGTACACAGGATTTGACGACCAAGTCAGATGTTTTCATTGCGATGGAGGATTACATGGTTGGCAGCCAACAGATGATGTCTGGATTGAGCATGCATTCTGGTTTTCAAGTTGCGGCTTTGTAATCCTTATGCGTGGTCAAAAATTCATCAAACAAAGCATAAATATAAGAGGATCTTTAAATCTTTCGGTAACCATTATATTACTTTTACCTGTGATATTTTATCAATTAATTTAGAGATAATGTAAAATATTTATCTTATATGCTGTTTTTAATTATATTTTTATTTTATATATAGATTTTTGATGTACCAGAGGAGAACAATGCTACAGAAAATTCGGTTGCATCTCTTCCCGCAATACAATGTAGCGAAGCAATAATAATAGAGACGGATGCAGAGTCTACGAGTGACATTACAGAAACTCCAGTCACTTCCAGTCCTTCAGTTTTACAACCTGGCAAGCCAATATCAGACACAGCAACACCTATGACAGGTGTTACAGACACTACAGTTACTTCCAGTCCGACAATTTTACAATCTAACAAACCGATAACAGATGTAACAGTTAAGATGCTACTAGATACCCCTCCAGCTAAGGTAAATATTATGTTTTAATTAATCAATATATAATATTTATATTAAACTTTTTGATGTTATATCAGTTTGCAATGTATGAATAAAGTTAATCAATGTGTCTCTTGGTGTATAGGCTGCTCTTGAAATTGGATTACATGTGGACAGAGTAACGAGAGCTCTGAAGAGAAGAATGGAAGAGGTTGGCGAACCCTATGTAAATGCTACACATCTCATAGAAGCTGTTCTGCATGATCAACTCATGGAAGAGCCTACTAGGTATGTTAAACGTAGTACGAAGAATATGTTGCAAGCGATTAAAAATGCTTGTGTCATTGAAAAACGTGTCTCTCTCTCTCTCTCTCTCTCTCTTTCTCTCTTTAGACTCGATAATATTCCTACTTCATCTTCGGAATTGAAGACTTTATTAAATCAAATTATGCAATCTGATGACTCTACAAGTAAGGAAACTACGCAAGAATCTGATGCAAGTAAAAGTAAATATGATAAGAAGGAAGTGGAGACTGAATCAGATGATATTAGTAAGTAAATCTCAGTGAAATTTTATATATATATTTTTTATATATAGGGAGTCCCATTTTAATTGATTATTCCCAAAATCTTCTATTTTTTATTGTACAATAAAATATTTCAAACAGAAGTTGTTTGCTTTGAAGAGACAGAAGATGTTGCTACAGACTTTTTTTCTAAAGAGTACTTTTCAAGGTCATTTGAAGCTCATTTATTTTGTGATAAATTAAAGTGGGACATCCTGTATATAATGATATTATGTTATAAAAATAGTTTTTTCCTTTTTTTTTCTTATCGCATACTGAATATTGCGGCTTAAATTGTAAACATTTAATTTTATCACATTCATTGCTGATAATACTTTTTAATGTAATTTTCTTTCGTTCCAAGATATTATGCATATATAATCTAATTTCTCGAAGGAAAAATGCAGACACACGTATCTCGCGTTAAATAGTTTGCGTAATTTTCTTTCAGTGTTTTTGCAAGAGGAGAATAGAAAATTAAAGGAGGCTCGTTTATGCAAGATCTGTATGGACAACGAATTAGCTATAGTGTTTTTACCTTGTGGCCATTTAGCGACGTGCGACAACTGTATACCGGCCTTAACGACATGTCCATTGTGCAGACTGAAGATCCGTGCTTATGTTCGTATCTTCTTGTCTTAATTGGCAAATGTAAAATAGACGTTGAAAGAGTGTGACAAATATTTGACGAGATTAGAAAATCGATGTTCCTATATTTATTGGTCATATGACGCTGCATTTTACATAAAATATATATTGTTATGTATATATTTTGCAAATATCTCTCTATCGATTTTATTTTTTGAAAGTATGTACAAATAGAAGATGAAGAAATATGTACAAATATTTATTTATACATATATTTTATTATTATAAAGCAGCGAATAAAAAAATGTAATATTGAATGGAAACTTAATTAGATTACGACAATATTGTTTTATTTTGACTTTTAGACTTGAGTTACTTAAAATATTTATTGCTTCTCAAATATATTTTACATCTGAGCATATCCTATTTGATTCAAATTAATAATATAAATAAATTAATATTTAATGTATTAATTATATATTAATAATAACGTTTTGCGAAATTATTAATAATAACGAAATATTAAATTAGTTGCAACTTATCGAGTTTTATCAAGATTTCAATTTTTTAAATATATATATATATATATATATAATTTTCAGTTTTTTAAATATTACATTATTAAAAACAATTATTGAATTAGCATTATATATATAAAATGTAAAATATTTTACTATATATATATATATATATATATATATATATATATATACACATATAAATAATATATATGTATAACATATATAATGTAAAAACAATATTGTCTCTAATAATGTAATATTTTTTTAAACAAAAAAATTTCTTATATTAAAAAAATTAAATCTTAATGACTATTTTTATTTTTATTCTGTTATCAACAATTTTGTAGATGGCTATTCATCTACAAAAATTGTTGATATTATAGAATGTTATTCTGTATATTGTAGAATAATATTCTACAATATATTGTAAAATTATATTCTACAATATATTTTTATTGCATTGTTTATTGGCTTGAAATTACATCTGCAATATATGCGCATTAACATCAACAAGAAAATATAAACAAATCATGTAATAATTAAAAATGTAAAGTAGAGCAATAATGGTAGCTAAGACTAGTATAATTATAGTTTTAGTAATTATAGGTATAAGACAAGTTATACGAAACAAATTTTAGATGTCAATTTTTTTTAATGACTTGTTGAATTATGAAGTTATCAACAAAAAGACATGCAAAATTTTATGTTTAATATTGATATGCTTCTATCATATATTACATACAACATGATAAAGTAAATCTATGTAAAGTTAATTTAATAGTTCACATATATATATATGTATATACATATACATATATATATATATATATATATATATATATATATGTATACACACACACACACACACACACATATATACATATATATATAGTGTTACGTCTCTGGTTTACATCCCCTGAGTACCTTCATCCCTTTTCATCTTCTGAGCATCATTGCTAAGAGGGTTGTTTATAGACAATCGGCGTTCGGATGTTTTTCCGGCGCCATGACTGGATTGGTCTAGCTGTTGCACCGTGCGGACGCTTACGAGACCGATGAGCATTCTGGCCTATTACATATTGTATTTCTTCACTTTATTGTATTAGGTCGTTTCATTAAAACTCCTTTCCATATTACGAGAGTTTATTCATTCCGGGCGCGAGTGAGAATGTGTGTGACACCTTTCGTGAAACAGCGCAAGAGACGTCACGAGGACGTAATATTTTGGGGGCTCGTCCGGGATTAAATTGAGAGGCGACTCTTCATCAGCAAGCCACCGGTGATCGCCGATCCCGCTGAAGTCGTTCCCTCGGTACAGAAGGCAAAACAAGAGGTCCTGAAAGATGAACCAATGTGGCAAGAAGGGCCATATACTGGTACCCAGCCAGTTCAGCGCATATACAGCCAGAACATGGATTTTTCCTCCTATCCACTACTTATGGAGAGGGTGTATGCGGACCTCGAAGCGGAGAATCTCCGCTTAAGAAGGGAAGTCCCTTTTTGTGCGTTCCAGCATGTCTATACTAGCATACTGAACGCTGCTTTAATTGATCACGTTCGTGTAGTGAATGCTGATGAAGAGTCGCCTCTCAATTTAATCCCGGACGAGCCCCCAAAATGTTACGTCCTCGTGACGTCTCTTGCGCTGTCTCACGAAAGGTGTCACACACATTCTCACTCGCGCCCGGAATGAACAAACTCTCGTAATATGGAAAGGAGTTTTAATGAAACAACCCAATACAATAAAGTAAAGAAATACAATATGTAATAGGCCAGAATGCTCATCGGCTCGTAAGCGTCTGCACGGTGCGACAGCTAGACCAAATCCAATCATGGCGCCGGAAAAACATCCGAACGCCGGTTGTCTATAAACAACCCTCCTAGCAATGATGCGCAGAAGATGAAAATGGATAAAGGTGCTCAGGGGATGTAAACCAGAGACGTAACAATATATATACATATATATATAGATATATATATATATATATGTGTGTGTGTGTATGTTTATGTATATATATTAGCGATAAAATATTCTTAAAGCTAAGATGTCAATGTTGTTGTGTATCTGTCTGAGTACAAATGTTATGAAATTGTCATAATATAAGTGAAAGAAAAAAGAGAACAATATATATTAATGTACATAAAGATTAAATTTTTTACTAATCTAACAAAGGCAAATTGTTCGATCGTTTGCAAAAGAGAAAAAAACACATTGCTTTCTTAATTTTAACAACAATCATAAATACGAAACATTTCGCTCCAGTTTATTATAATTAAATTAATTCTAGTTTATTTATTAATTGCTTATTAATATTAGTCCAGTTTATTTATTAATTAAGTCGCAAATTATGTCTCTAGAAAAAAGTATACAACTTTATATTACATCCTTCCCCAAGATTTTACCTTGTACTTTTATTGCGTTAATTAAACAGGTTTTACATTAGCTTTGAAATTACGTTCGTCACGAAAATTTCTAAATTTTTTAGCACCTCCCAAGAACCCCTCCAACCAATTCAATGAACTAATATCCGTGTGTACCTTGGTATCATTCCCCCTTTTTCGACCTACCATTTTCAAAATTGGAAGCTTTATATAATTTATATATTAGGACTGAGTATAATAGTTGGTTTCAGCCGAACCAGTTGGCTCCTCTTAATCAAATGCGAATCTTAAACAAAAACGTGTTTTAACATATAATACGAATATGAAGGATATTTTACAACTATTCAAATATATTATTTTTCGGAAACACCATTTGAATATAAAACTGAATATAAGGAGCAACCTGTCATCGTAAAACGACCTATCTGTTAAATTTTCAGGTAATAACACAAAAAATTAACATTTTTTAAATTTTTACTCGCATATATATTTTACGAATTAATTCGCAAAACACGTCATGAATTGCTTCACACTACATCGTTCTTTTTCTTATAAAAGAAATACAAAGGCATTTGATACACAAAACGTTTGTTTGTTTCCCGTGTTCTCCCCCCCCTTTCTCTTTCTCTCTCTTCCTCTCTCCCTCTTTCTCTTTCTCTCTCTATTCACCATAAAGCAAAGGCAAACAAGAAAACAATAATACCCAAGAAATAATTAAAAGCAACTCTTTTTCGCGACAACCACTTATTATTATACTCCCTTATTGTTAGTGGATAAAATACCAAAAAACGAAGCTCACGAGCTGGGGCAAAACGCGACGGAATCGGCGGAATCGCCGCTTAAGGCAAGAGGTGGCTCGGGTTATAGAAGATTCTCTCGTGTCAGACCCGATCCCGGTTCATAGAGGTTTCAATAAATCTAGGAATAATAATGAATTTAAATGTGTAATTGGAACATGGAAAATATATTTTTTATATTTTTTTATTTTAAGAATGTTTTTATAAAATATATATATTTAATATATTTTATTTGTTTAAATATAATATATTATAAAAAAAAAAAATTTATTGGTATCTACAAATTTGAACTTCTAGAAATGACTGAACATTTTGTAATTAGCTATTTTTATATTAATAATAAACTCTTTTACAATAAATGCAGAAACGTTTAACAAGAATGTGATTTTTCCACTTGAATTTGATACTTCATTTATAGAAATCATATTTATGTAACAATTAAGAGAAGGAAAATTTTCAGTTTCTAGCTCTTTATTCTTTTAAAGGATATCATGTACATGTAAAGAAAAATTCTTTATTTAATTTGAACGTTATTACCCATACAGCACCGAAAAATTGCAGAAACATTCTAACGATGGAACATTGTAATATTGCATGGGAGTTGCGAATTATTTCTGCAATATTACTGCAAGATTGCGGCAACGGTTGGATGGCCGCTTTTTGTAATATTGCAATAAAACATTATAGCAACATTGCAATGTAATGTATTTGAAAAAATGCAACGTTGTTGCAGCCATATCATAATATTACTTTTTTTTATTTTACTGGCAAAAATTTTGCTTTTGTAATTTTTTAAAAATATATTTAGGTATAAATTGATATACAAACATTGACTGGTGTTAATTGTCTTTATTAAAAATTTTTAACAGATTCATTTAATTATACATCTACATATATATATGTGTACATAATATATATGTAAATAAAAAAACAAATTAACATAACATAAAATTAACATAACAATAAATTAACATTTTAATAAAATGCTATCTATCTCTTTTATTAATAAAAAAATATTGTGTGGAAATTATCATATTGTAATGCTGTTATAACATATATTATAAAATCTATATTCATTTAATTAAAAAAATTCATTAATATTTTAACATTCATTAATAGACAAAATGACAATGCTATATCTATGGGATCTATAAGAGTCGTAAAGTCGTAAGAAATTAATGCAATCACATTTCTTTATCGACTTCTGTCGTCAGGTCGAAAAAAAATTGTTTAATTAAAAGTTCTGCTGTTTGTACGTACAAAATAAGATAGGTTCCGACTAGAAATTGAATGAAGAAGTATTAGTATATTTTTAGATATAAGTTTAAAAACCTAATAAATAAGAAAACGGTGCAGAAAATTTTCACGCATATGTGTTGTATACGTGCATATGTTTAGACATGTGTGGTGCTAACCTATCATGTGTATATGTGTATACGTGCATATGTTTAGATATGTGTGGTGCTAACCTATCGGAGTTCGGCCGTCTCTCCGGCATCCCCTTAAAGATTTTACGATTTTCTCGAGGGAATACAACAAAGAAGGCTTCTAGATAATCGTTGGACAAATAAAAAAATTGTCCAAACCACGAAAGAGAAAGTTATAAAATGAAGATTATATATTAAATTATAACAGAAAGGCAATTTTATGTG